CTGGAACAGGATAAATAATTATGACTTTTCTTTTATAAAATTTTCAATTACACATAATTATTGTTAATATCAGTAATAATTATTTTTCTTCCGAGAATAAGAACGGCAAATTCTAGGTGCGCACAGGTTTCTAGGAACTTTCCCTTGACCAATGGGAATGTGAATCTGTCGTTGCAATTATTGGAGCAGTGAATACAAAGCTCCACCTCCCAAATTGACCTTATCTGCATTGGCCTTTTGTTATCACTCCCATAAAGAATGTGATCCCAATGGCTGCTCTGTCTCTTTCTGATGTGTGCCTTTTTAAATATCTTAATTTCTTCTTTTTTTCGCCAAAAAAAAAAAATTCTTCTTTCCCTTTTCTTGCTGGGCATGAAACGATGCAGCAGGCAATGCACCAATCTCTGATATCATCCAGGAGTAGAAATACAGCTGTCGACAACATTTCATTTTCATTTTCATTTTCACCAGCCAAAAGCCATCGACTAGGCGGGAGCTATCCAAACTAAAAGCTTTGTCAGGGCCCATTAGGTAATATTAATTATATTAAAAAATGGCTGACACATTTTTTTAATTGAAGGGACCTGTGAATCAAGAGTTAGCTTTCCTACTTACAAGTCTTGGATGTAATTTTTCTTAGTTTTTGCTTTTAAATTTTATTTTCAAACTTTAATATTTGTAGTTGAACAATAAATACTAAATGTATTAAAGATGTTGAGTTTTAATAGATAATTAAAAGGGTCTTGAGTTTCCTGTAAAACGATAAAAAGCACTGGTAGAATAAATGTATAATTTTATTGAAATGTAGAAAATTACAGATTAAAACTAAGAACTGAAAAAGGTTAAAGAATGTAAAATTTGAGAGTCTTAATTGAGTGTTGACTAGCTTTTTCTATTTTTTTTCTATTTATAATGTCGAATAGTAGAAGCCTTTCTTTTAGAACTTAGCACATTCTGTCGAAGAATCAAGAATCTTGCGAAACTTATGGCATAGTCTCTCCATTTTAACAACCAGTCCATTTCACCGAACTACTTGGGTGTAGATTTCAGCATTACTTAGAATCGTGACTTTGTGTCAACGGTCTAATATTTAAAGCTGTCGGGGTTTTAGCATGTTTATTTATTGTGAACTTTATTGACTTTTGGGACTGGCTTCTTTTATTTATATTGGGCCTAATGCTTCGATTACTCAACTCAACTAATCTTATAATCTATTTTAAATGACGTTTCATATTTGGCTCAGTTTGTACAATTTTTTCCTTTGAGCTAATAAATTCCAAAAAAAAAAAAGAAGCACCATATTTTAGAAGTAAAATCATCAAATTCGCGAGTCTACGCTAACTTGTGATAGGCACATGAACTCATAACCTCAAATCATAACATGGGACTACGAGAGTTTATCCCCTTTTTTTTTCCCTCGAGGTTTCCCAATCTATTTGTATAATCTACTGCCGTAAGATCAATCCTCATAATGTGTGAGTATCATTTAAAGGATTGTAATCTCTTAAATAGTATCTGAGGTTGTCTTTATTAACAAATGTTATCAAAATATTAGAAAATAAAAAATGAAATATAATACAAAAAGATAATAATAAAATCTCTCAAATTATATAAATGACAATTTATGAATTGCAATAAATTTTACCAAAGTCTCTATGGATTTGTTTTTCAATAGATTTTAAAGTAAAAAGACTATTTTACTTTCATTAAAAATAACAAGTACAAATTATAATTTATCAAATATAATTTTTATTATTAAAAAACAAACCTCAATTACCACTCTTGCTAAAGGAATAACAACTTTTATAATATAAATCACAAGGGTTGAATAAAAAATCATAGCTTATTAAGTATAATTTATGTTATTGAAAAATAAACTCTGAAAATAACAAATTTTAATTATAACTTTTATTTAAATAATTATAAAAATTAAATAAGGAATTACAACCTATCAATATAGATAAAATAATATTTTTAATTTAAAATTTATTAATATAAAAGTTCTTAAAAGCTTTAGTAAAGTTATAGCATTTTGAAGGATTAGATTATTATTTATATAATTTAAAAAATTATATTATCATTTTCCTTATAATATATAACTCAGGTAATCAAGTAAAAACAAAAATGAAAGCATGTTTATATATTATTGAAATATATATTTTTCTGTACAAAGTAAAACGTATATTGCATGATATATGTAGAAACTTAACTATAGTTAGAAAAAGAATAAAATAATTGGCATTTTCAGTAAGTTCAAATATCATGTATATTTATTGTTAATTTTGTCTGAGTAATTTTTATGCGGATAATATATCATAAAGCTCAATCTATGAATATCATGTCAAATGTCACATGGTCACGTGATCACCATCCTGAGTTCAAAAGTAAGTACTCCGCGCCCGGGTTTGCTTCCGTTCATTTCCTTTGAAATTCATTTCATTCCAAAGCTGATTAACACGTTTTGAAATCGCAAGTTTGTACTCTCTTCGTTTCTAGTGTAAGAAAAAGTAATCAATTCACATAATTTAAAAAAATTAATTAACTATAATACTTATGTCAAAAAATTTAAAATTTAAAATAAATTATTTCTATAATTAATGAAATAAAATTATCTAGTAAAAATAAACATTGACTTTAAAAGAAACAATTTAATAAAAATATAACAAATGTTTCTTCAAATTTATAATTTTACTTATAAATAAAAATAAAGAGAAACATGATGGTTTTTATTTTTAATTTATAATAATTTACAATAAATTTTTCTTATATTTAAAAACGAAATAGCACAGTTTGGTGCAATTGTGAAAGCTGAAAGCGAGTGTCACTAAGGTCGAATGTCAGTATCACCCGTTTGCACAAGTGAGTCAACTCGATTGACTGAGGTGAAATCCTAATTTGTGTTTGAATTAATAAAGTATGGAACTAAAATTAAGATCCAATTAAAATTAACAAATTAAAGTTAAGAGAAAAGTTAGTGAATATAATATGATTTGTGTTTAGATATTATTTTTTTTAGAAGCCAATTGCAAAAACTGAAATTTATTTAAATGATTTGATTTAAAAATTAGTTAAAATGTAAAATAATAAAAATAGACATAAATTTTTTATATTACATTTTTTGGGCTAATTTGAAATTTGTAAGAAAAAAATATTAAACTTAAAAAATAATTTAATATATTTTTTTAAAAATTATAAATTTTATGATATATATTTTTAAGACTAATTTGATATTTTTTAAGAAAGAAATATTAAATTTAAATTATTATAATTATATTTTAAAAAGAAAATTTGGATGTATAATGAATTTTATTATATATATTTTGGTGACTTAATTTAATATTTTTAGGAAAAAGTAAACTTTAAATTACAATTTTTTTTAAAAAAAGTAGAATAAAAAACATTTCAGAGGTGGGGTACTTTTGCGATCTAATCAGCAATAATTAACTATTAAACACGTATTTTCTATATTAAAATAGTTTTACATTAAAAAACAAATTGTTAAATTACAATTATATCTTTTTCTAGCCAACTAAATTACAATTATATCCAATGACCAAACACAAAAAATTCTATTATATTCAACAAACCTAGAATCACTTTACCATACATCTACTACACGTTATATTAAAAAAATATACTATTTAAAATCTACAAGCAAAGAAACAAGGACAAGTAGCAAGATTGGGAGGAGAGAGAATAATCTAACACATGCTGCTCCTCTCAAGTTTCAACCATCATCACCGGGCGTTGAAAGAAAAAGCTCCATTTCCCAACTTCAGTTAAAAACGCTCTTCTAAACTCTAACGCCTGTTTACTTTTGTTTTTGTTTTTTCCTTTCACAAACAAAAATTTAATCAACATAATAAACTTTTTATTTTTTAACTGAAATTTGAATGACCCCAACCTTAATTGTAAGGTAATCCAAACACACACTTAGACTCGATAAACTTGACGAGTTGACTCGAGTTTCCGACAATCATGTCTGAAAGTGAGGAAGGAACAATGTCCCCTCGCAACAATTTAAAATCTCAATTTCTTTTTACTTGGTTTCCCCAAAACAAAATCCTAGTTTGGTTTGTCACATGATAATGAGAGTGTGAAAGGTTCATTGAATGGAATAAATTGATAGACGAGATCCGGGGTAACCTCGCTGTTTACCAACATTATTCTGATTACCGAAGGAAACACTTGACGTTTTCGAGACAGGCTGATGCCAAAGCAAAAGCGCGAGTACATCCAACGCGTTGGCTTGTGCTCGCTTTGATTTCATAATCTTGTTTTCTTTTGAACGTGTTTAACGGCTCTTTCTGTCGGCAAACAGTAGCCAGTGAGGAATGCCCTTCTTCTCCTTTTTGACCGGGAGTCAGGAATGCTCTCCGACTCAAATCTCTTCGAATTTAATCAAACCTTTGAAGTTGCCGGCATTCAATTTCAAGTGAACGTTACTGCTGGCTTCAGCATGCTTTGGAGCAAAACCGAAGCGTATTGCCTCTTTCTTCCACTAATATCATGATCATTGACAAGAATAAATTTGTATGAAAAATGCCAGCTCAATGCTTCTGCAACAAATATAACCATTTTTAATATCTCACGAAATACACTCTCCCCGGCAAAAGGTAAATCATCTATTGTGATGGTTGAGACAGCACCGTATATTTGATTATCTGAATATATTTATTTGAACTTTCCATAACCTCTCTCTCTGGTTACTTGATCATTGTTAACGTCTGGTTCAACTGACCTGAAACGGTCAAACCAACCAAGAAGCTCACATACACGTGGAAGCAAGACGCGTACGTAAATCTCACAATTCAGTAATCCATACGAGGTTGCTTCAGCATTACCATAACCACAATCCACCTCTATTCAACTACCGAAAGTGAATAACGATTTCGCTTGTGAAAAGTTGAAACGGAATAGCATAGAGTAATCTGATTTCCCTCGTGATGTATAGACATTCATTTCTCCAGTATCGCGGAGACAAACGAGAGACTGGAATATAATTCAATCAAGGCATTAATATTTTCTTCTCCGAGGCCAAGCATGACAAAAACCAGCCGACCAAGGCAGAGATTTACAAAATATCAACAGAATTAACAGGAAAATCAACTTAGCCAAAAGATCTAAGGGGGGGGGGGGAGGAGCATAAATCCAATAATCAAATCCTAGGAGCAGCCCTGCAATTACGAAAAAACTCAATTGCAGGAGCCCTCTGAATCCCTAAAGCCTACTAATATACTATCTATGCCAGGAAGACTCATTAGAAAAACAGTTGACTGTGCGAATAAACTAGCTAAATGCTTTCATAAGGATGCCCAGTCGATCTCAGATGGGTACTTCTGCAGATTAAAAATGTCTGCCATACTTTCCCACTGAGGCTCACTGACATCGCCGAAAGTCAAATCTAACAGAGGAGATGAACCACCAGATTCCCCACTCTCAGTTATCACTGGAGACGAGGAAGTCTCCAACTTGTTGCAAGAGTTCTCCGAACCCTTAAAATCAGCTTCACCGCCGACCGGCTGCTCATCCGACTGCATTACTGTCTGCGGCCGAGCAGCTGTAGAACCCACTCGGGACCGCCCCAAAGACCTCTTCGGTCTCTCCGACTTCCCCTGTTTCTGCATATCAGCCATGCTTTCGCAAATTGCTTGAAGCTTTGCATCCACGGAGGAATGCAGAGGCTTGTACTCCCCGAATTCGCCCTCAACGCAGGAACCTTGGTGTCGGAGGTTGGGGAAGTTGAGCCTGGCAAAGTCACCTCTAAGCTTGTAAGCGGCCCTGTCGTAGGCGAGGGCAGCTTCTTCGGCAGTGTCGAAGGTGCCGAGCCAGAGTCGGGTACGGTTCTTCGGTAGTCGGATCTCGGCCACCCATTTCCCCCAATGCCGCTGCCTGACTCCTCTGTACAGCTTGGTGGGTTTAGAAGGCGCGCCCGCCTGCTTCATGGGAATAGGTTTGGGGCTCAATATGCTGAGAGTATTTTGCTGCCAGATCATGTTTCGAGGGTTCTGGTCATGGATCTGAGGTTGAATCTGGTTAGTCTGAGACAGAGTCTGGTTGTGGAGCCCAAGAAAAGGAGCCGGCTGCCCGAAGCCAATAAAGCTTTGGCTGTTGAATAACCCGTCGGCAAATACATGGGTCATCGATGGCGAGCAACCGTCTGCATACAAATTGGGCTGCTCAGGGATGGAAGGAGAGGAATGGAACAAGTTGGAAGAGGGAGGTTGGGAATTTAGGAATATGTTGGAAGCAGTGTGCGGAGAGGGCAAGGATGTTGCGGATGCACTTTTCATGAAAGGCACGAGAGCTTCCATTAGCTCTCCTTTGAAGGGATCCGACTGAATCTCTGTGTTGCTGCAGACGTCCATGTTAGCTGCCATAATTTCTACGAGATACGCAGATCTTAGATAAAATTCAACCTGCGTCTCACAATTAACAAATATAAAATCTTTACACAAGAAAGGAGGATAGAGGTTTAAAATACGCAACCCCTGATCCTGGGAATCGAAAGCAGAGCTCTGAGGGATAAAAAAAAAAAAAAAAAACCTCTCCCGGTCGATTCAGAGAAGGGAAAGATTGAAAATTTACCGAGAAATTAGGAGAATAATCAAAATAAAAAAGAAAAACCTGATCTCGATTCTGGAAACACCCGGCTTTCGAGAATTCCTTCTAAGTTTGTTTTATCTTTAAATCGAATACAAACCCAAAAATCATAACTTGAAAGACAGATGGTCACAGAAAGGGATTCAGAGAAGCGGGGCGTTACAGAGGGGGGAAGAAGATGAGGATTTCGAGGAGCGTCGAGAATGGGACGATCCCGTCGCTTGCTCACAAAAAGAAGAAAAAGAGTGCTGCTTTTATCTGTTGAGTATCTCACGGCCGCTCTTGGGATTTCGGTCCTCACTCTCACTCCATTATATAGGGGCCGCCACCTTAATTATGACGCGTGTTTTGGGTGCTTAACCTAGATTATAGCTGTTAATCACACACTCCCTGCTCCTATTTGTAGGATAAGGAGAGAAAAAAAAAATAATAATAACCTTATTCACATGACGTTTGTCAATTTTAATATTATTTTTTATATTTTCATCTTCATTAAATACTTTAAATAAAAATATTAATAATAAAATTTAAAAAATTTATTAAAAATAAAAATAAAAATTTATTAAATTTTAAAATAGAATTAACGAAATATAAAATGTTTTCACGTTAGAACTGATTCATGAACGGGGCAGAGGGGTAATTAATATATGAAAAGCGTGATAACGTAGGGTTTGACCGAGGAATGAACCAAGGAAGGAATGACACGTGCAGAAGGTGATTAAGAGACACGTGGCCTGCCACTGGAAGCGGGGTTGTCATGTTGAATCGGTCCGGTTGACAAAGGGCCAATGCGCGTTCATTCCTCCATCCAGCTGCTACAGCTCTCCCTTTGAATTCCGACGGCACTCCCCCATGTAACTTGTCCTGTCCTTCTCCCGCACTGCAGAGCCATGTAAAGTCAACAACTATTAATTGATAAAATAAAAATCGAGAAAAAGAAATAAGTGGTGCCCCCTTATCTGGAGGCCCCAGCCCCTCCGCTGCGCCAAGAGACATGCCAATCAATCTGGCTTCACCTGCTGCACGCTTGCTCGTGTATTTAGTCCAGTCGTTTACAAGTTTTGATTTTCACGTGTTATGCATTATCTATCAATGTTTCTGATTCGACTTGTTGAATAATACAGACTCTGAATGCTAGTATGGCCGTCATCCATCTGTAATTATGCTTTGAACAATCAACAATCTGTCTGGGTTTTTAAATCTAATTGAAAATATATATATATTGATGTCATGGTGAGTACCCGATCCAAATGCACCGTAACAATGCTGGGGAAAAATTAATATTGTCGCCGTATTTATTGAAGAGCTGCCGTGGCGGTGCTTTCGTTGAGGCGTGAATCGAATGGGGTTGAATGGGAGTAATCAAACTGTGAGCGGAGATTGAATTGCACCGCAATGATGGAGCGAGTGACAATTAAACATGTACGTGGTAACTTTGCGATGTACCAGCGTTCACGTGAGAGACACGGGTGAGTATTCTTCTATATTGAAACACGGGGAAGATGGTACAGGGCATGCGAGCATTAACCATGGCTGGGTTTGGGAGTTGACCGATGTTGAATGAATGCCAATGACGACCCGCGACCAAACTCCAGCCGTTGGATCGATCACTATAAAGCAGGGCGACGCAATCAAAATACTCCCTCGCCGGTTCGCATTTCCCTGAAAAAAGAATGCTTTCTCGCCTCGTATCAAAATAAACAGTATCCAATAATCCAATACTACACTGCTTCCATGACTGTTCACGTTTTCGGTCCTTTTTTTTTTTGGGTGGGGGGGGGTGCTCTCTGTGTTAATTTGTTTATCTCCTTTCGTTAACAGCGGCAATGATTATATCGAAATTCAACGTTTTTTATTTAATATTTATCATCTTGACACACTGTTATTCGTATACTGAACCGGGACACAATCATCAATGGAGAATCTTTTCCTGAATTTGGGGGCAATTGAGGGGTAATGTAGAAATGAGTTCACCTTAAAATTCGTATGTGGCAGCCTTGCTTGAAGCCGAATTCTCATATGCGAAGCCCATTTTGTGCGGCTTCAACCAATATGGCCATATCATTGCCGTATCCCCCGTTCCTTTCTTCGTGACTAATTCCGCTGACCTTCTTTTATATGAATCATTGTACTTGTTCTTATTCATTTCACGTTACGCTAAAACCAGATTAATAGAAAAAAATAATAATAACCTCCCAGTCTTAGGGCCTTTTTGTTTTCTGTTTTTTAAATTTTTTTTTTGCTTTTAAAAATAAAAAAATAAAATGTCGTTTAAATGATTTTTTTTCATTTAGTTATTTCCAGATCTGTTTTCATTTTTTATTTTAAAAAACAAAAAAATAGAAAAAAATTTAAATTATTTTTTTATTTTTAAAATACACTACATTTAATTATTAAAAATTACAGTTATCTTAACTAATTTTTATTATTAATCATTATCATGAACGGTTTATAATCATCACTATCAATTCATTTTTTAATCTCTAAAATTTTTTTTTAATTGACGTAACCAACCAAATTTTTAATTTATTTTTTTAAAAAATAATTTTAAAAACTGTACTATAAAATAATTTCTAAAAATAAAAAATAAAAAAAACAAATAGGTTCTCTCTCTCATAAACAAGGAAAATTAAAAGAGCTTGTTTAAAATTATTTTTTTTTATTTTAAAAATTAATGTTTTGCAGCACATATTCTAAAAATAATGATGATGACGACGACGATGATGGTAAGTATTTTTTTTATTTTTTTTATTCTCCATAATAATAATTCTAGAACATTTAAAAAATATTTTAATTTTTTATTTTTCAAACAATATTTTTTATTATTCAAAATACTTTTTAAAAATACTTATCAAACATATTTTTTTTTTATTCTGGATAACAAAAAACTATTCTAAAAAAAGGTTGCCAAACAAGTCCAAAACCCCCTACTCTCTAACAACAACAAAGAAAGGAGTGAATTTCTTTTAGGGACAGTAAACGAAGACTAACAATAACCGGTAGAGCATGATTCACAATGAGATCCAAATCTTATTTCTTGAAGTTCAAATATTCGGCCATGTATACTCCCTCATCTTTTTTATAAGAGACGGATAATTAATTCATCAATATCAAGAATTTAATTTCAAATTATCTGGAATAAAATATTTATTATAAATATAAATTTCTTTCTAAAAATATCTTCATTTAATAATTGATTGATGCATTTTTACTATTAATTAATCCCATTAATAAATATTTATTTTTAATGGGGATAAAAGGCCAAAGCTTTAATAAATTTTATTGACAAGAGGTAATTTTTCAAAAATAAAATTAGGGGCCTAATCATTTTGTTTCAGTCTTTATTAAAAATTATATGATATCGTTATTTTAAAAATATGCATAATATAAATCACGTTGGAAGTTGGAGCAGAAGAGCATGTTATAATTTTGCTAAATTAAAAAGGTCATGTTGTAAAATATAGTTAATATAAAAAATAAAGAAGAATAAGATAGTACAAGAAATGGAGAGAAAATAATGAAAGAGAATTCTTATTTATTAATGTATATATGTTTTAAATATGACCTCTATTTACAGGCCTCTAACCATTCAAGTTATACTCTAATGTTATAAAAATATAATGAGGCCTATAATAGTGTGCTATGTGCATTTAAAGATTATAAGCTGTTAAGATTAAAAACTCCTTCCATACTATTTATGAGGATATTGAAAATAAAAAAATTTTAAAAATTATGAGTTATGGATATCCATAACATAATATTTATAACAGGCCGGGTTTTTTTCAATTAAGTAAAATTTTAACAGTTTTAATTTATAAATATATATTCCAAAGTCATCATTTAAAAAATAAAAAAAATCGCATGATGACTCGTTGAAATCATTTATAAGTGCCTTATTTTAGTCAATCATTTTGATTTTATTATAACCTTTGACAGTTGTAGTTGGCATTCAGATTCCCGAGCCACGTGGCCAATTTCAAGAAAATGGATCCAGATCCCCTCAGCGACATCCCTCTCAACATCTCAAATCCCATCCCTTTAATAAATATTTAACGTTTTATTTTTTATTTTTAAAATTTATTCTAAAAAAATATCTTCAAATTTTTGTACAAAAATTTACAATTTAACTTATTCAAACTTTAGTTTGACTTATTTAATAAAAATTTATTTAAAAAAATTTATAAAATAAGTTAAACTCTAAAAAAGTATTCATAATCTGACTTATTTAGATTATGACATAACTTATTTAAAAAATTTACAAAGTAAGTTAGATTATAAATAAATATTTATGGTCTAACTTATTCAAACTTTGACCCAATCTATTTAATAAAAAATATAAAAAGAAGTATTTTAGAATAAATTTTGAAAATAGAAAATGAAATAAAAAATTATTTTATTTGAGATGATGCGGCAAAATATGAGATATTAATTATTTATTGAATAGATGAGATTTGAGATGCTGAGAGACATTGAGGGAGACGTTGCTGGGAGGATCTGAATCCTTCAAATTTATTTTATGTTATATTAGTAATATGTATGTATGTATGTATGTATGTATGTATGTATGTATGTATGTATATTTTTTCTTTAATTATTATATATGCTTTATTATCTCGCCCTCGCCTGATAAAAATTTTCTGATCCGTCTTTGAGGTGATAGATGAGAACTTGAGAAGTGCAAAAACTAGATGATGGGAGCGTGGAAAGAGGAAGGGGATCACGTGAAACATTTCAAGATTGGCATTCTTCTGAACCCAATCGATGAAGAAACAAGTGAACGAAATTAAGGTCGCCCAGAATGATTACAGGAAAAGACGCAACTAAACGGATATCCAACCCCGTCATTACGAAACAGAATTTAATTTTGGTGGGAACTAACTTTCACGCTCCCTTTTCCCATCCTTTTCTGATCTCGTGCTATGAATGAACTCATTCTAACTTTATTTTTTAACTATAAATTATAGGATTATTTTAACCCCGCCCAAATTTGAATGATATTCAAGGGAAACAAGTCTGAATCGATTATTATAAGTTTAGAGATTGATTGCATCAATGGAGTTTCGAGTTTTCAGGGCTCCGCTTAGTTGCTTCTACTCCAAAGTCCAAACCAAGGCAGGCAAATTCAAAAAGCTATTTGCGAGAGTGCATTTTGAATTGCTTGTAAGCTGTAATCCCGGATAGAGAGGAGAGCATTAAGCTTAAATAGTTGGAACATCAAAATATATATATATATATATATAGCTGAAGACATTATGGCCTCTAGCTCTTGCCAGGTCTCAGGATCTAATTATAGTTTTAAGAAGGACAAGCTCAAAAAAACATAAATAAACACGATGTTTTTTCGAGATGCTAGTTTCAATGCAATGAAAGCATTGCTGTTGAAACCGGACCGGATGGTCCGATTAGTTCAGCCACTACCTGTTAAACAAAATGGTTTGGTTCAACTGGTTGAACCAATCTGACATTTAACCTGGATTGAACAGGTCGATTTTGAGAGAATCAACTTTGACTTGAAAATTGAAGCCGAGTCAACTCAATTCAAAGCCAAAAAAATTTTAAAAAAAATAAGTTAAGTTATTTAGATTCACAATTTCTCTCATCTAATAACTAATTTTTTGTTTTCTTCTTCTCTGTAATCTCTGATCTCTCCTTTATGGCCTAAACTTAATCTCTAACTTCTTCTCTAACCTTTGCCTCCAGCTTTAGAGATCCAACTTCTCGCATCGAGACCGGAAGCTTGTGAGTCATGACATGATGGCATGCCTCCAGCTTCAGCATTTTCCTTCGAGATTACAAGCTTGTACTGACATGCCTCTACTTCTAACTACAACAGTCCAAGCATCTAACTTTTGGAGTCGAGATCCCCAAGCACCATTGACAAATTAATGTTTTATTTATATAATTGTACATATAAATATTATTTTTTATTTAATTTTTATGTCACCGATTCGACTGCCGGTCTAACAGATTAGATCATGAAAATCACAATCTGTTGTTCTTTTTGATTTGATGCTTGATCTGAATTTCAAAATACTGGGCGAGAGTGTGATGGAAGCTGTTCATTTTTATTGGAAAATCCGAATCCCTTTTTTGGGGGGGGGGGGGGGGAGACAAAGCAAGGGGCAACAGCGTGGAATGAAAAAGATGGTGACTCAAAGCTCAAGAGTCTGCTCACTTGGTGCGAGAGAATCGCAATAAATCCCGGGCCATCCTTGCCTTTCCAAACACCCCCTTCACATTCACCCCCTTCACATTCAGCACACGCCCCCGCCCCCGGGGCGATGCCACTCCGCCCAAATTATACATCCACCCCCGGACTTAACAGTCTACGAGTTGCCATCCACATGCTTGGGTATAATCCCATGATTTGATGTATATTGACGTACCCTTACATGCAAACTAAATATGATAACACTAGATTGAACTCAAGATTTCTTTCAAGAGACAACAATGGAATTACCACTAAAACAACTGACAGTTGATAAATGAAATATTGCCCCATCAAATGACAGAAAATGTAAAATTTTGTCAACAGTCAAACGAATCTTCGAAATGTAGGATGCACACAACAACGTGAACAAGTCCAGATACAAAATTGATCGCAATCACATTCACCCGGGACAAAAAAAAAACACAAATGATCTGATCCAGCTTTTGAAAAGTCAAGATGCCTTAACAGGTACAGCTCATCAAGGACAAAATTTACAACTTGCTTAACCACAAATTCAGAAGCAAATGAAAAAGGAACTGCGGAAAAAACAACTTCAAAAAGCAGTATCAAGGCCCTTTTTAAGTATCCACGCTAATAGATACGCATGAGAGGCTTGCTGTACAGGTTGTAGAAACTCCTCTAAAAGACGGAGTCTAGATATTGATTAAAATGTTTCCTGTTAAACTCTAACAAGCTTCCATAAGTACGATCAGCAATACCAACAAACAGAGCGTCCGTGTCCGGACTAAAGGAAATACCAGCGATCTCACCAAATAAATCAATTTCTTGTCCTTGTTTGTAGTCACTGCGAGAGTCAAAAATATGGACAAAATCTGCTGGCTCAGCCATAGCCAAAAACCGTCCATCGGAAGTGAACCTTAGAGCTCTTACTGCCCCCATTCTTCCCTTGAGTACAGCGACGGAGCGTGAAAGATTTCTGATGTCCCACAACCTACATGTTGTATCCTGATTCCCAGTAGCCAATACTCGCCCATCTGGGTGCCAAGCAGAAGCAAAAGAATAGTCCAAGTGTCCTGTCAGGCTCCCAGTAACCTGAAAGATGCCATATGAAAATCAGAAACCTTGAAATAAGCAAGGGCTACCCATTTACAAACAAATGCAACTACCAAATCACCTTTCCGGTGTCAGCATCAGCTATCAAACCCTCAGCACTATCCCCAAGAACAGCTAACAATTTTCCATCGGGACTGACAGAAATACTCTGCAAGATCGGAAAAGCAAACAATCGCTATGGATATTAGAGAAAGTGACCAAGATCCACATACTAAAAAGCGTTTGAGTGCACAACACTCACGTTGACAGACCAGTCATATTTGAAGCAACCAAGAGAAGCAAAATTATCAGCATTGAAAACCCGAACTTGGGCGTCATTATTTGCTGTCATGACCTTCAATGACCCACTGCAGGGACAAGGATCATCTATGAACCAAACCAAAACCAAAGAATTTAAAGCAAAGCCCCACCACCCCCACCCACCCGGTGAGTAGTTTACCTGGGATCGTGGTAAACATCCACAGCATTGGTTATAGCATTATCATCGGTAGTTATTTTACTGCAGAAAGCAACTCCAGATTGATTCAGATTCTGTCATCAAAAATTTAAACCCGTCAAAACGAAAGATCTTAAGCTGACTAATCATTTGATTGAAATCATTGATGGTTTCCTACCTTGCAAATAAGCTCACCCTGGAAACCACCAGCTACCATTAAATTTTTCCCAACAGCCATGGTGCTTATTTGTACTCTGGAGACAGGTTGAGCCAAAAACTCAGGGCGCTTCTGCAAATAGAACATAGAAAAAATAGGATCTGATAAAGTTCAGCACATAAACTATACAAGGCATGGTCAACTATCTGGGTACGTACAACAGTTGGAACAATCGGTTTCGCCACATTAAGTACTTCTTTACTCCTTCGGAGTAAAGATGACCAATGCATCACAGAGTAGTTTTGTGTAACATATACATCATGCTTCGATGTTGCCCACAACAAATTCCTCAGCTGCAACAGTGGAAAAACATTTTGATGACATCAATATCAACACCCAGCAGGTATAAAGAACCTTTTCTTTTTCCTTTATTTCAGAGGAGGTTAGAATTTAAGCAAATTGAAATTTTTTAACAGATGCAGAAAAAGTTGTATGGTTGGTGATCTCAGAATGATGGCCTTCATTTTAATGTTAAAATACCGAGTCACCCACGGACCAACATCATGTAAATTAACAATCACCAATAAATGTGAGAGTTCGTAACCCGCAAAAGGAAGGTTGGCTAGTAGTAAATACTAAACCATTGAACAAAACTCAGTTTTCTACTCAACGTTATACAACAAATGATGCCAAGTCCATAATGTTAGCACTGCGGATGTCCCACAACTTTATCCATTCTTTCACAATTTTTCCAGTATAACAAAGAACTATATCAAAATAATGAGATCGGCAGACAAAAAACATGGAATATAAGTGATCATCATATGAATGTGAAAAGAAATAATTAATAGTGGTACCAGACAACAGATCATTGGAGAACGAAATGAACTTGAAAAAATGCAAACTGAATGTCAGTAAAAGCTATACTGATTGACTAAAAGATCCAGTAAGTAACGGATGAGATCAAGTTGATTAGAACAAACTGTTATTAATTACAGAAACTGTTACAGCCCTCTTAAATGTGGTCGGATATTTTCCTATCATACCATAAAAAAAGGTCCTGCCAAGCCGCTCACTTTCCACCTGCTTTAAAAGCTGACACAGAGAGAAATAGCAAGCCTAAATGCACAAAGAGGTTAAATGACATAATTATATCACAAATACGAAGATAGTTACAACTTAAATGCAAAAACTAAGTGCCCAAATACATATAAATCACACAAGCAAAAGCATAATTAGAGTAAGCAGCATTCATAGAGGACACCAGAGCTTAATTCATCAACTGCATGTTGTGATGGCCCCCCCCAAAAAAAAGAAAAGACACAAGTTTTTCCTCGGATGTAACCAGAGAGTAAAATAATCAACATCTATCTTCTAATGGAAAAATTGGTGCATGAGACAGCTTAATTGCACTGTGCCATGTAATACTGCAAGAGTTTGGTAGGTCAACTGTTAATACAGCAGGAAAGTGCTAAGATTCCGGTAAGAAACTATACGGATAGTTATTTGCATCGTTGATTAACTTAAAAGACTGAATTATTTGAAGTTTCAGGTCCAGAGAGATGCGGACAGTTGGCTGTTAGTGCATCATTATTCTATTACATACAAGCATGCCATATGGATGGAATTATGGAAAACTCTCTTCCCCTCTCTCACAAGAAGTCACTGGTTTTAAGAACGCCAAGCAATACCATAGCGTTAATGAAACCATATCCATAACTTGACTTGAAAGCATCTTGTAAGTTCAAAAGAATATCTGGCGTGTATTTGAGTAATACTTTTAAAAGATTAATCTTCTTCTTCTTCTTTTTTTTTAAGAAAACGCTAATAAATAGATCGCAGTAAGGGTTTGCAACTCAAAAGTAAGCCTCCTTGTCATGTAAGAAAGACCTGGAGAAGACAATTAAGTGAATAAAATTCTGTCTTAAAGCTTGAAATATGAAAATTTGCAAGTACCTTGCTCAAGAATCAAAGGTAAAAATTACATAGAAATTTCTATCCTCAATATTCTGGGTGCTGTTGATGCAAGGTACAAAACGAGAGTCTCGTGTGTGAAAATTTCTGAACCGGCAAAACCTCTTTTACTTTGTTGTTTTCTAGTGGCGTCGGAAGAAATTAAATTAGACTTCTACACAACCAAATTGTCATGGTCCTCGATATTATTTTAATATTTTCGGCCAGAGTTGCGATTCGAAAACAAAATTTGTTTGAGTACGCAAGATAGCCATGTCAAGTTTATACCACTAAGTTGTGAAACAAATGATCAACTCATTCTATAAAACAGCTCTTAAAAAACAAATGGAACCTTGAAATAAAATAAAAGCAACAAGATCATCAGAATAACAGCATCATAATAAGTTGGAATACGATTTCATTAAGAAATGAGTTGAAAATGTAAATCAGCTCGATATCCCGATTTGGGGAAAATGCAGATGGACAAAAGAAAACACTTGCCATATGGTTTGTAGAGGCGAACAAAGTCTACCTGAAAATGCACAATTGTTGATTTGACAATCCTTGTATTGAACTGGAAGTCATAGAAGGCATTTCCTCTCCTTACTTCGAGGCACTCCTAATCAACAAAAGGTTTAGATGCATGCCCAGTAACGCAAAGACACTCACAGTAAAAAAGAAAACCTGACATGCCGAGTTCACAGAAATTTCTTCTTCCTGACGCTCCGAAAAAAAGGTTGTTTAAGTAACAAGCAACGTAAAAACTAACCTTGTCAAGATCCACCCGAGAGCGAGATAGGTTCTCATAGTTCTTGTATTGCTTTAATCGAGTCTCTCGGTATTTGTCTCTGGTATAATTAAGCCTCTCCCAAGGAATTCCCTGGATATCTTTCCCATTCCTAGCTGCCAAAGCAGAAGTATCCGTCTTCGATTGACTCTGTTACATCACCGGACCCATTACCACAAAGTACAGGGATGAAACGCACGATATCTGGGGGAAAAAACCGATAATAAAATAACATTTATACCATTTCAAAATCATCTTCGAAGTCGGAATCCGGAGAATGAAAGCGAGTGTTACTCTGAGAGCAACTGTCGGCGAAAGAGTCATCGTCTTCAAAATCAGGGACGTCGTAATAGTCGTCAACAACATAGTCAAGATCATCATTATTAAAGAGCTCCATAAGGATGCGATTAGGAAGAGAAGGAACGAAGGAGGAGTTGAAAAGAGATGAAGAAACGGAAGCGGGCAAAAGCACAGGAGGAAGCGGGATGAAGAAACGGAAGCGACCCCGGAATAAAGGAAAAATAGTGGAGCTAACGGTTGAGAAAAAGAAGAGAATGCTGAGGGAAGAAGAGACTAGAGAAAGTGGCGGAAGCGGCGATGGTTACGCAGACAAACGGCAAGGTAACGGAGGTTTTGGGGCGAAGTTGGGACGGAGGGAGGGTAGGAGGTGGGGCCCACGCCAACGATCATAATAATAATAATAATAATAATAATAGAAATGAAATCCGGGGCCGACGTTGTGGGTTCCACTCAACTGCCCCTCTTCGCCAAATTTTATCAATTAATAATCGGTGTTGTGAAAATATTAAATGAGGGTAATGAAGAAACCAGGGAAAGATCAGGAATATTAGGATGTAATGAAGAAATCAGGGAAAGATCAGGAATCTTAGGATGCCGGGTAATTAAATTAAAATGACAAGTAAAAGGAAGCTGCTTTCACGAAGGACTGGGATCACGAAAAATCGAAGCCAGAGGAGGCTGTTGCAGGGGCAGCGCAGGCCAGGATAAGGTTGAAAGGGAAGTTTAGGAATAAGGCAATTGGGCGGAGATTAAGAAATCCATTAGTGTGCCTGAGCTGACAAGGGAATGGAGGAGACTGGATACGATGAGAAAGAAATGGGGTGGAAAAAGGAATGGATGGCAAGTGGCAAGGGAAGACGCAGAGTCCAGGTGGTCGGGTCTCAGCTTCGCCACGTGGTTCGTTGGATCCAGTCGGCAGTCAGTCCCCCTCTCCTCGATTGCCCCGATCTTTAACACCGTTACCACCGTTTGTTAACCATGGTTGGTTGCTGCCTCCCTTTCACGCTGCCTCCGGTATTCGGCCCCCTTTTAGTTTTTCCCACCTTTCTTCCACAGTTTCTCTTCCAATTAAACTATTAGTATTCGATAATTTTAATTTTAAAAATATTAAAAATAAAATCAATTGTTTAGATGAATATTTAACAATTAACAATCGTATTAATGTAATAAATAAATACGAGTGTAAAATAATAGTAATCACTTTTCATACAAAGCTTAACAATTAATATGAATGATGAATGGCACTTGACAATTAATTATGATTCCATTTCAGTGTTGCATATAGTTAAAATTACTCTCAACGAAACGTGGCATCCAATTGAAGAGGACAAATAGTTAAAATTACTTTTATTTTGACCGCCATTGCAGTAGGCCAATGGCAATGCAGCGATTGGGGTTGAATGGAATGCTTATCGGCTTATCCTTGGGATTTCCACCCACTTCAACTTCAGAAGTCGAGACGATGGCAAGGTAATAAAAAGGGGCCCGCCACGGGGTCCACCCTCAGGCCTAAACCCATGAGAACGCACTTCTATTTGCCGACGAAAACATCAAGGGAGGCCAGTTTGTGATTGTGGGAGGTTTTTCGGTTAAACCAAGATTGAGTATTTGTTCGATTTTTAATTTATCAAAAATTTATTTGTTAAAATTTTATTTAGCAAAAATTAGTTTAGTGAGAATATGTTGTTATAATAAAATTTTTATTTTGATATATTTGTTTTAAAAATCAGGATGATAAACTAAAAATTGTTTGAATTAATGATGCTTTTTACTTTTAAAATGTACTTTTAAATATATAATGATTAAAAAATATTAATTTATGATAATTGATAATGTTTATTATATAAATATAATATATTAAAAATGAAAAAAAAAACTAAAATAAATTTAAATATGTTAAATAATAAGAATAAAAAATACATACTTTAATATTAGAAAAAATTAAGACATAATGAAGGTATAGTGGTCATTTATAAAAGTAAGTACAATCTGGCTCTCATTTATAATTTTAAATCCACCAAAAAAATAGAGTTGGCAAATCCATGTTGAACCCATTTCAACTCGTATTTAAAAAGTTATTTTGCTTGTTTAAAAATTATCCAAATAATATTCAACATCTTAGAATTTAAAAAGTAAGTTTTAAATGCTAAACCTGAATCATCCAAATGCACCCTGGGGGTTTACTGTAACAATCATGCATGTCTTCTAAATGGATTTCCGCTGGAGCCTTTTTACCGTATACGGGTGTTTGGATTCCCCCTCTCAGTTTTCACCATAAGAATTTCTATCACAAGTTATCCTCCTTTAAAAAAAAAAAAAATTAACGGTGCCTGCAAGGCTGTAATTAGTTGGTTCCGGTCATTTGTCAATTGTTAGTCAAGAAATGACATTTTTAACAGGGGTATTTACAGGAGAGGATGGAATTGAAATACCTCTATCTTATATCTCATCTCAAAAAATTATCGAATAAAATTTTTATCTCATGTCTCATCCTAATAAAATAGATAATAAAAGGAAAAGATTTGAAAATAATATTTGTTAAAATTAAAACAGCACAAATACATAAATCATGAAGATTTGAAATTAATTATTGAATTGCAACAATAACTACTACAAATATATAATTTAAGTTAAATATATAAGAGACATGACACATTAGTACAACAACCCTAAATGACCTTAAAGCTATAATAGCAACAACAATAGATAAATTAAGTACAACATTAAATAAATATTTTTTTAATTAAGATATTTGCAATTATTAACTTTTTTAGAAATAAAGCAAGAAGTTTGATATAAACAAAAATTAATAAATAGGTGTGTGTGTGTGAGAATAAACTATATTAATATAATTAATATAATGTAAAAAAAATTAACTCATACCACTTGTCTTATCTCATCAAAATTATCACTATTAATAACTTTTAGTTTTAGAGAGAGATTGTAAATATTAAAATTATAATTAATATAATTTTTTATTTATATAATTAATATAAGAATAAATTATATTAACATAATTAATACACTTGATGCATATTTTTTTAAAAAAATAACATATAAATATGTATCTATAATATTTGAGATGGGACGGTACATTTCGAGAATAATTTTATATCCCGTCTTATCGCAAATCTGAATATTTCTAAACAAATTGGACTATGTTCAGTGACACTTAGCACAGAAAAAGCAATTCCTTCCCTGTGATGTGTATCGCAACGCACATCATTGATGCAACACTATGTAGACTATCAACAATTTCAAAATTTAAATATGCATAATTTTTCGTACAAAATTTTAATTTAAATTATTTAAGTGTTCACATAAAGTTTATTTTAAAGTTTAATTATTGGCTTTAATTTGATATCAAAACTCTTCCATATGAGAAATTTATCCATTGTTACCCATTTAAGACAACAAATACAACTTTGTAATATCTCACCAAAGACGAACCAATACCAAAGCCACTACTCATTATTTGGGACATTTAACTAACAAAAAACTCATCCAAACAATCACTTTTTCTCACCACAAGTCCTATACATAAGAAATTTTTATAGCTGAGTTACAACCACCTAACATAATTATATACATGAGATGCAACAATATGAGCAAATCACAATTTTTCTTTTTTTCAAAACTCAATAATACTTAATCACCATATAAAAGCCATGAATGTCACAAAAACTAGCTTGTGGCCATTAATTACATATTTTTATCAAAATGACAGAGTCACGCATTTAATAACAATTCAAACAACCTAAAGTTGGCAAATACATGTATATCTAAATCAAAAGGGTTGATGTGGCTAAATGGGGTCTAGTTATACCAACTATGCCTTCAGTGCTTCTCTGGCCAAATTACTCCCTATACAAATATTAACTATAGGGAGTGAGACTTAAAAGTCTCAACAACTAAAATTAATATGCAGCTATGCATGCAATGCAACTTATAATATGATTGCTGAGTGGGCATACAAGATTTTCAAACAATAGATGTTTGGACAAAAATCAAACAAATTATATCTCTTTAGCATGATAACACCTTATATCCCTCTTGACTTTATGCTTCGAACTGAATTACTCGACTAAAGGTGAATTGATCCAAGTTGATAGCCACTCATATAGTCCAATAATGGCTTACCTCGTGGTAGGATAACAACTCTAAACACGATACCCAAATAATACGTATTTTTCAAATAAACCCAATATGCCATAGTCTCAAACAACTGGACAAACTCATAATCGAACAATTATATACTTTCAAACAATAATCATTTCCAAATAAAATACATATATTTACATATGCAATAATCATCCCACTTGGCAATCATTTTTCTAGTAACAAAAACATGCTTAACTTAACATATTTACTTGTGAACTGAATAATCAACAAAACACACACAATCATATATTAATAGTGATTATTTTGATTCATTAAAATTAAAGCTTCTTATGCAAGAACACCTTTACCTTTTTTGGCATTTCTACTACAACCTACATACATGACAAGACTAACTATAGTTAATAAAATGCTAATTAAAATGCTAGCACACTAATCACACCTTAATTCTAGGTTTAGGTTAATTGACTTACTTAACCCAAAGTTGTTATAGTTGTTTAAACCCCTACACTCACTTGAAATTATTATCATTATACTTCTTAAACACTTATTTCACCTTTACATAACATAAACCATTGTTTAATCACCTAAATAATCTAGGGTTTTTGGTTTCCAACCATTCATTA